TTATGGCGAATTGTTTTCTCCCCCATAGGAAAGCATGGAGCTGTCAGATTTTGACAGGTCCATTGGTTCCTATGGGCCGAAAAAAAAATTAACCATAAATTAACGAAAAGTCAGATCAAAGCCAAATCAGGTTTGCACATGACTTAGGGGGTCCTCTAACGAATCCATGCATTTAGAATCGTTTTTAACCCTTCTAAGACACTTTTTTAATTGAAAAAAGAAACATCGTTAAGTGAAGCAGGGGACCTAAAATCGCATTCGTTATGCGAAGCATGGTCCCAAACTTCGCTAAGCGAAAATCGCCCATAGGAAACATGGTTATACGGTGCATATTATTTTCTTTAAAAAACACATCGTTATGTGAATTCATCGCTAAACGAGGCAATCGTTAAGCGAGGCACCACTGTAGTTGCCTGAAAATGTATGGCACAAAGGATATAAGGATTGTGCCACTGTTTTTCCCTATAATGCACCAACTTGGGGAAAGATGTGCAGTACAGTACAGACAGATCCCCTATCCACGGGATCAGTATCTGCTGATTCACTCATTCATGGTCTGAAAATGTTAAAAGAAAAATCTTACAAATACATATGTTTAAGGATGAAGATTCCAGAACTGGCCACTAAAGGGAGCCAGAGACCAAGCTATGTATTGAGTTTGCTATTGCTGTACAACAGTGTTCGCTATAATCTGCAGTTTTCAGCATCTGTATGGGGGGACTTCAAATCGATCCCCCACAGATATGGGGCTGCAACTTCTGGAATTCAATGGAAAGCAGAATTTACATTAGGAACAAAGGTCAGCATTATCTAAATAACAGTTTTATTACTGTGAATAATACACAGATTCTGTGAGACAAACAGAATTTCATTCATCTTTCTGGTCAAGGAGAGTGCTACTAAGTAAATTCCTTGAGGAGAAGTACCCACAAAGGTTTAAACTCTCACCCCCCCAAAAAAAAACAATGTCAGAAACTATATATACTCATCAATAGGATGAGAAACCTAAGAAACCATCACAGAGAAATATCTTACCTGTGAATACCTAAATAAGAGTGAAATTGTCCTATTTCCTAAAAATCTATATAAGGGCAATAGTCTGCTACCTGAGTGTACTGGGAGGGGAGCAGGGTGGATTTGATTTAAATCAAATCCATTTAAATCAATTTCAAATTTTAAAAATCAGATTTCTTAATATTGAAAATTTATATTTTGATTTAAATTGTGATTTAAATCAATTTTATTTTTTTTAAAAATCATTGATTTTTAATCCATCCTGGAGCTACCCCAGGCAAATAGCTTTCTTTCCAGGCACTCTTGGCAAATGAATGGGCTGCTGAAGAAATAACTTTAATGGAAATGCTCTATCTTTACTTTCCTCTTATACTTTTAAATTGTTTTAAAATGTATTCACGAAGATTTTCACAGCCAGGATCTACTGGTTGTTGTGGGTTTTTCGGGCTCTTTGGCCATGTTCTGAAGGTTGTTCTTCCTAACGTTTCGGCAGTCTCTGTGGCCGGCATCTTCAGAGGACAGCAGTTTAAAATGGTTTATTTCTGTGGGTAATTCACTATAATATGTATAACTGAGTTTTAATACTATACTGTGTCGTGATTTTACCATTTATGTTTTTTTAACCTGTTGCAAGAAAGACAAGGTTAAAACATAAAATAAATAAGCTTTGCTGAAGAAACACTAAAGGTTCTTTCAAGAGAACAGAACATTGCATAAACTCTAAAACAACTTGCTCCCTCTTTTGCTACAACAGGAAAGTGACCTGTGTTTGGTAAATGTTGTTGGAAGACTGCCAGGATGGTTTAAGTGACACTGATGGGACTGTCCAGAATCTATTACAGTGGTGCCTCGCTATTACAGTGGTGCCCTCGCTCAGCGAATCCATCGTTAAGTGAAACAAAAAAGCCCATAGGAACATATTAAAACTGATTTAATACGTTCCTATGGACTTAAAACTCACCGTTCTGCGAGTTTCCTCCATTGCAGCGGCCATTTTGGACGCCTCGTTAGCGAGGCAAAACAGCGGTTGCCATTTTGTTTTAGCGGCAGCCATTTTGGAACCGCCGATCAGCTGTTCGCTATGCTTTGATCGCGCCCGCGCGATCATCGCATAGCGAAAAAAGCCCATAGGGGCCATCGCTGAGCGAACGCTCCAGCGATGGCCCGGGACCCCGCGTTGTGCGGTTTCATCGCATAGCGAAGCGTTCGCTATGCGAGGCACCACTGTATTTCAGTTTCTGAACAATAAGCTTGAGTCAGCCTGAGTTCAAAGGATCCTTCTTTGAATCAGTGTAGCAAGTTGAACTGGAATTGTGATCCAATGCTAAGATTCAAGACGTTCAAAAACCATAGCTGCTAGAGCCAAGCCCTACCCCACAAAGAATCTGAGCCCAGTATACCCTATTTTAATGAGATGACCTTAGATAGAGAAGCATCAAGTGAAAGGCATACAGAAGATTTTAAGGCTGTGGGGTTGGTGGAGCACTGACCTCTTCCAATTACCACACTAGAATTGGGAAGAAAAAATCCAGGGATTTTTGTGTTCTTGTTTATAAAGAGGTAAACTGACAGCGTTCCCCCACTGGACAGTGAACAGAATAAAAGCTTCTGTAGGGATGCTATGTCTCCATTAAAAATTCTGTTGAATAATGATTAAACACCTTGAGAAAAACAGTGCAGCAGAATAAAGTAAGCAGTCTTTGTAATTTTGCTAACCTCATTGAGTAATGGCATATTTTGTCAGTATGCCTACCTAGATGACAGTTTCTAGCTACAGTATGTCTTCTGACATGGCAATTTCTGCCTTTTGGGTGACAGAAATATCATCCTGGTTTTACTTCTAAATGATGCATACTTAAGAGCTGAGAAGAACACACACTTGTTCCTGTTTACCATAAAGTTGTAGTCTTCCAGACATAAAACTATTGTTTCCTTAGCCATCAATGACCCTGCAAAGGATAAAGATCGAATCAGCAAGTTATCCAGGTTAATAAGGACATCATGAAGCAAAGATGGGCAACTAACATCACCAAGAGGAAGCTGATTAAAACCTTCTTCTTTAATTTAAGAACCTGTCAAAAGACACCTTCAGAGGTTTCCACAATGAAATAATTCACTAGAACAACTGGTCTTGGACTACTGCTTCACCTTTCAATGTCATAGCTATAGCCACTGTAAACCATCATGCCTGATATCACAGCTCTGGCTTCTTCATTCAAAAGGCAGTCCTTGGACTACTGATAAATGTATATGATTAAAATTCTTCTGCTACATGCTCAGTGATCAGGCAAAAAAGCAGGAAGAGAGGCGATCCAATGACGCAGCAGTGGAGAAACTGCTAGTTGATGTTGATATGTTGGTATGAAACTGGGCAAAGCAGGCTGCTGTTGACCAAATCTACCTATTCAAAAAGTTCATCAGAATTGCTTCAGAGTGCTCACCTAGTTCTTGGTTTCTTAGGAAATGTGGTGATGCCAATGGGGTTGTTCAGGATAAGACAACAACACTGTCCACTCGAAAAGCATATTTACCAGCCACGGCATTGAAACTGGAATGGAGCCCAAAGCACCTGTGGTTTTCCCATATACAGGCTCTTCACATGCTCAACAAGAGGATTGCCATTTTTGACAGTTCCTCTGCTGTAACAGTTACTAAGAGCACAGAGTGTGTGTGGAATGCTGTTTTAGTAGCAGATGACTGAGGAAGCTGGACACCAAATTGTGCCAGGTTCCCAAATGCCATCTGAAACGAGGGAGAGGTGCAATGCATTGCACAACTATATTGTAATATTGCCTATTTTTAATGGTTTTAATGTTTTTAAAGTTTTAATATTGTTGTATGCCACTCAGAGACCACTGGTAATGGCACAGCTAAAAAAAAATCTTGTAAATAAATAAATAAATAAGCTGCCCCTTTAATCACAATCAAGCCCTTAGATCAGTGATGGCAAACCTTTTTGAGCCCAAACTCCCCCCCCCCAAAAAACCCAACCCAGGAGGCAGCAGAAGTGGAAGTGATGGCTGAAGCAGGAACCCCAGGCATGGAGGTGCTTCCAGACCCCACTCCAGATCTGCCTCCAGTTGTGCAAAACCCCGCAACTACCTATAGCTCAGCCGGTCCACTGCTGCCAGCACCAGCTGCTCCGGATCCTGGCCTGCTGCCTGTCATGGTGCTAACACTGCGACTGCAGCTGCCTCCTCAGGTTTGGCTGCTGGGGGTAGCAATCCGGCGACTTATGGCTCACGTGCCCACTGAGAGGGCTCTTTGTGCCAGCTGTGGCACATGTGCCATAGGTTCACCATCACTGCCTTAGATGTTGCCACAAAAGTGTTGGGAACATAGGCCCTATGAGTTGGATTTAAATTTTAGACATGCATTTTTCCTAGTCTGTGATTACTAATAGAGGTAAAAAGAGGGAGGAAAACTGAATCTTTTCCTTCAATTTTCATCACTAAAGACAAGTCAGGAACACACAAAGTACTCTGTCTTCCCAGGAGGCAAAAGTTGAAAAGTTCTCTGGGGTGGTACAAATTTTGATGGTTTTTGGACTTGCATTTTAAGATAATAATGCTTTCACTGTATACTCTACTCTTCACTGATCAAACATACATACTGTACAAATAGCTAGCTGCCATGTTCACAGTTTACCTAACACAGTTTATTTCACCTGGAATTGTTTCCTGGTATATATCCATTGTTGCTGCTAAAGTTAGTCTCAGTTGAAAGCTACAGTGATTTGATAGCTGAAACAAAGGAATCCAGGAGCACTGAGGGCTCCAGAAGAATCCAAACGATGTATTCAGCAACAAGCAGCAAAACAGTCACTGGAATTTGTCAACTTTCAATATTGTATGAATGTTGCCTACTACACAGCATAACCTTGCTTTTAATTTGCAGTTAATTGTGTTTAAAACTTATCAATAATTTCTTTAACCATTGCTTTGCAGCAGTCTTTGGACATCTATAATTTCAAGCTTCAAGAGCCTAGAATTTGTTCTGGATCCTTAACACATTCTAGAAATCTCAAACATGATTTCTTAGGAGCATTCTTTACTAGAGTTACAAACTGTATTATCTTTGCATAATATTGAATGGAAAATGGAAATTTGGAGGAAATGGAAATACATGCAATACTACCTTCTTTTCAAATCTGAACTGATTCTGCTATTTTGTCATAAGCTCAATTTAATACAATAATGTTATCCCATGTAGCCTATTCTGTACAAGTTGTAGTTTTTGGCATTTTAATGAAATTTAGACATCAGTGAATACAAAATATCTCAATGGTGTACAGTAGTTCTGTTTTTAAACGTAACAATGTTAGAGACTGACTGAGTCTCAAATTACTGAATCTTACATTTGGATGGTAGATTGTTTGAGCCATATGGAAATAGGAAACAATGAAAGTTGAAAACTGAAATCATACATACTTAGACAGAAATAACCTCAAACAGTCACAATATTAACACATCTTGGACTGCAGTATTGTACAGGTACACAGTAACCAGAAAAAGTAACACAATGGAGTTTTATTGTATAAATCCATTTTGCTAGATTGATGGGAAGTATAGTTCAAACACTGGATGGGCATCTGGCTTGGAAAAACTAGCCAAAATATACAGAATCTTTATTATTCTTTAATTCTGTAGACTACAAGGTAGATTTGATTTGAATCAGGATTTAAATTTTAAAAATTGATTTTTTTACCATTTAAATTAAAATATTATTTATTTAAATCATGATTGAAATCAATTTGATTTTTAAAAATCATAATTTTATCTACCCTGGTAGACTGGTTTATTAAGAGTCTCACTATTACGCATTTTCAGTGAGCAAAGTCCTATCTTAAAAATACTTCACTCCTACCACAGAAGAAAATATTTCATAAAAAGTTTTTTCCAGTATTTCTCAAAATTTCCAGTTAACCAAATCTCTAAATTACCATTCACTGTCTATAAGGAAAAGAGAGTTAGACTAGACTCAACTTTCTATGAATACTGATCTACCACAATCAACCAGTCAATCAGCAGGTCCTCTGAAGTGTAAGACACTCTCACATAACCCATACAGATAGACAGATAGACAGACATAGCCATTCCATTAAAAGATGGCGCTCAGTGCAGTAAAATACATTAAAAACAAAATCCACACTGTGGAGCAGGCTAAGCATCATACGCCAGTTTAAAATGATGTATTTTATTCCCTTCTTAAAATCAAAGTGAAAACACATCACAGCTGGGAAGGAGAGTATTCCATAGCCTGGGACCCACACAAATGTGTCTCCAGAAGATATTAACATTCGGACAGGCTCATAAAGAAATAGTTGTTAAAAGCAATACCTTGAATTGAATCTGGTCTTTCAGTATCAGGGTCACTAGAAGTAAGAAACAAACACTGGGCAACCTGTCTAATATAAACCACAACTTTTTCGCTACAAGATGAAGTGGAACCTGCAAAGAATTGTAAACAGGCTTTATAAAAGAAGACTGGATAGACTTCACAAATAATGGGAAGATATCAAAAACTATCTGGCCCAAAACAAAACATCTGTTTCTATTATCCTTCATGCAAAAATCAGATCCAGGACAAACTACAATGGACTACTGCCAAGTTTCTTCATCTCTCTCTAACACTGAACTTAAGTTACTAACAAGCTGCAGTCTTTATGCTAATTGCTTAGGAGTGTAAGAATGAATACTTTTACTCAGCAGTGCTCTGTTCATGATCAGAAGACACTCACTTTTTTATTTGGATTCCTGATGCCCCAGGATGAACAAACATCCTGGTCAGTCCAAACCAAGCCTTGCACTGAAAAAGTAATACTACTGACACCATGCAGAAGCAGTTTGCATCTTAAGAGAACACCAAGGACATTCATGCACAAGCATGTTTTCAGAAACTAGAAAAAGAATCAAAGCTTTTGAGATCTATGTATAGGCAAGAAGCCATGCCCACCAGACTCATCCTTGTTGTGGTTATACAGACATTTAGCGGGTGCACCACAATCATACTTATGAATAGAGTAACCAAAAACAATTGGGTGTACATTAGTTATGGCCACCTTAGAACGCACTGATTTATATGGGTCTACTTGTAACCATGACTATATCTGTACGCAACTCAGTACTTTTCGATACATATATACATAGAAGCTGGCTGGACAGCTGAGTGGTTTCTTTATCCCACTGCGAACTCAAGAAGCTGGGAATTTAATTCCACATTGTGAGCAGAGCCAGCCTGTGTGGCCTTGGGCAAGCTGCACAGTCCCAGGGCACCCCTCCCCCAAAAGAAGGGAATGGTGAACCAGGAAACCCTGAAAAGGGTCGCTATAAGTCAGAACTGACATGATAGCACTCAAGCTGGCTAGATAGCTCAGGGGTTTAGGTCACTGCCTGCAGGGCCTGAGGTTTGGAGTTCAGTTCCTCACTGTGCCTGCTGTGAGCAGAGCCAGCCTTCGTGGCCTTGGGCACAGGCTGCACAGTCCCAGAGCACCCCAGAAGAGGAAATGGAAAGAAAGCGGATCTCCCACAGAGGTATCTTTTCCAAATCCTCAAACAGATCCATCAGTTCCTATTAAGGGGTGAAGAAACGATGCCCGTTATCCCAAGGAAAGCCTTTCTTTCTTTCTTTTTCAATTTTTTTTACACGGGGCGGTTTTCCTGCGCCAGCTTCCCACACCCAGCCAGCCCTACAGTATTTGCAGCAGGCAAAGGGTGGGCTGCGCCTGTGCAGACGTGGTGGTGGCGGTGGGGAGAAGGAGCAGCCCCTCCGAGGTGAGACGAGAGCGGCCCAAAGGAGCGCCGCCGGCATTCCGGCTGCTGGACCTCCTGGCACCTTTTGCGAACCATCTGGGGGCGGAGAGGGCACCTCTGCGGCGGGGACCCAGCCTGCCTGCCTGCCTGCCTGCCTGCCTCGCCCGGATCCTCTACGGACACAACCCCTCCCCCTATTCCTTTATTCCGCCGGCGCGAGGGAGCCAACGCGGGTTGGCCGGCGCTTCGGCAGCGAGCCTCGGGCAGCAAGGAAAGGGTGGAACGGCACCGGCACCCGAAAAAGCGAGGTGGGCAGCGCCATTGACCGCACCCCCCCTGGGATGTTGACACGGGTCGGGCCTGGGGCCTTCCCGTGGGCCCCTCTCCCGAAAGGCCGGGCTCCCGCCCGCCCCTCAGCGCTCGAGAGACGACTCGGCTTTTCCCCTGCCTGCTCACCTGAATAGCTCATGATGGCGCTGGCGGCGGCCGGGCTCCCCAAGTCCCGCTCCTCACACCCGTTACCTCCTGCACCGGATGGCAACGGCAGCTTGCTAAGCCCGCCTCCCGACTCTGTTGGCCGCGCTCACCTCCCTAGCTTGCCGACCATTGGTGGCCGGAGCGACAACTCCCGCCCCATTCACGTGCTATTGGCCTAGAGGCTTTCGGTCCTCCCGTTTAGTTAGCCCCGGGAAACATCTATCAGAGCCGCTTTAAGCACCTTATAGGCGACCTCGGTCGCCATTCAAAGGCCGTCCACAAATAAGAGGAGTAGGTCCCGGTCTCTTGGAGATTATTGGATCGAAGGGCTTATCACTCATGCCTAGCAGGGGACGGTGGGGACCAATTAGTACATGAGGTCTCGCGGTGGGTTGCTTCGATGCCCCTTTTTCCCCCCTTGTTGCCCTTTCAGGGGGTGGGACTCCCCGCCCTCCCACGCGGGTGAGAAAGGAGGCGGCCGAGCCCGAGGGCACAGGCGGATAAAACGGG